GCCCCCTCATCTGCTTTCATCTGTGCAGGGAGGAGGCACATTGTTCCCTGGTGATCTAGCGGTGATCATTAGTAAGGTCTGCACTAGACCTTGCTAGTGATCCATCATTCGGCCGGAGTTAAGAACTGGTGGAATCAGCGGGGGGGGGGCACACGGGGGGGCAAGGAATAACCTAGGGGGGGCAATCCCCCCTTGCTCCCCTGTAGAGACGCCTATGCTTTTAGTTATACTTTAAAGTAGAACTGAAGGCAAACCTTTCTTAGTTTTGGATAGAGTAAGCTTTTTTTTTTTGCCCTCTCTGTCCCATTGGAGAGATTTCCCTTCACATCCTGTCTGATAGTAACAACCGGAAATGAGAGGAAACCCCTCGAAAGAGGAGATCCCTGCTGGTCAACAGGGTCACCAGAACTAGTGCCCCCCTTGAAAGATTTCCCATCCATTCCTGTTCTGATGACAACCCAAAATGTAAGATTTTCTTTCATTATGCTTACAATGTTTATTAAAATTCTATCTCTAGGCAAATCGTTTTTTTAGTTTTGCATAGAGTAGGGAAGGGTTAGACCTATGAAGTTTGTATTGCTGGTTGTGTGACCATGGGGGAGATGTATCCCATATTTATACTGGTGATCATTATCACTGAGAAAGAAATTGATCGGAAATCCATAATTGTATAGTTATCTTGAGAACAAGAAGTAAGATGAAATCTTCCAATGGGAAAACCTGTTCCACAAACAAGGAATTGCTGCAACAAAGAAGCAAAGAAGCTCTTTACTTCCTGTTGTGCCTGTGGGACAGAAAGTGGTGGGAAATTTCCCCAATTGTACACAGAAAACTACTGTACATACTGGCAGTCATTTTAACCCTTCACCACTCTATCCAAAACTAAAAAAAGGTTTAAGCTTAACACACACTTTAATGTATGGCTAGCATGCATATTTCAATGTAAAATATGCTTTTAAAACCGTTTACACCCTCCTCCTGTCACTCCCCTGAACACACGAATCTGGTGGCTCATCTATCATCATGCATAATGGAACGACACTGCGGCTATTTTTCAAATCCACCTCACGGTGGCGCTGTGCCGCAGTCCTCCACAGCTGCAGTACCGCCTATTGCCGTGCGGTGGCTCCCTTCTCAATCAGCTCAGCTGGATGATCTCGGCGCAGTTCGGACGGAGCGGCTTCTTCCCTGTGGTCGCCATTTTATCCGACGTCCTGTGTGGGCGGCTGAGGCTGGGGGAGAGGAGGGTGCTCCTGGTTCGAGTGAGGCGCGGAGAGGACGTGCTCGGGTGTACGGTTCGCTGGAGACATGATGGCCACTGGGGAAAGCACGACTGAGCAGGTGAGGAGCGCTAGGGGGAGGGACCGCGGTGTACTGTGCAGGAGGCGGGATGGTGAACAGGGCCGTTTGTGTGCTCTCTATGGGAAAGGCGAACAGGGCCGTTTGTGTGCTCTCTATGGGAAAGGCGAACAGGGCCGTTTGTGCACCCTCTGTGGGGCTGGCGAACAGGGCCGTTTGTGCGCTCTGTGTGGGGCTGGCGAACAGGGCCGTTTGTGCGCTCTGTGTGGGGCTGGCGAACAGGGCCGTGTGTGCTCTCTGTGTGGGGCTGGCGAACAGGGCCGTGTGTGGGGCTGGCGAACAGGGCCGTGTCAGAGTCCACCCATTACCTCCCCCTGATAACGTACGGTGTTTACCTGCCATGACGGCCCCTCACCAGGCCTGCACTTGGTAGAAGCCATTTAATTCTCTGATTGGCTTTGCTGGATAATGCTTCATGCAAAAGTCTGCATAATGTAATTTGCTGGTGTGTTTCTGCGCACAAGGATGCACAGATGCCCATAGTAATGAATAGATGTAGCTGGGTTGTATGTGGAATTAGGCCGCTGCTTGTTGCAGACTGCACCCAGCCTTTAACTGCTTATAGACGCCTACAGCCATTCATTACTTTGGGTGGTTGTACGCCACAGCTGTGTATCTCGGGTGCAGAAATATACTCTTGGGTTTTGTTTAATACGGCCTAATGTGCCCGTGCGCATAAGGTCTTGGACTACATTAACGTGGGCACAAAATACATTGAGGGGAATTGATCAAAACTGGAGCGGAGAGAATTTAGTGCAGTTGCCCATGGCAACCAATCCGCTTCCATCTTTCATTGTCAAAGCGTAACCTAACTGAAGAGAAAAGCTGATTGGTTACTATGGGCATTTGCTCCAGATTTTGCCTGCTCCACTTTTGATAAATCCCCCCTTGTGTTTCTATCTGTAATGCATACATTTTATGCATCTGTACAATATGCTATAAAGGCCTATAGACACAGCTGGGTAATCTGGAGCTGCATAAAGTCGGTCTCCACTGTATGACTGTGTTTAAAGCTGAACTCTAGACACAAGCTTTCATTCATTGACACAAGCTTTCATTTTGAATTCATTGACACAAGCTTTCATTGGAACAAATTCCTTAGTTGTGAGAGAGGATATAAATCCACTTTGTGTGCTCCAGTTTTTGCGAGCCCCAGTTATTTTCTCATAAAATTAGTGGTGACCTAATCGGTGTGCTGTACATAAATTGTGCACCGAGCGGGCCAGCCACTCATTACAGGTTGCCTGCAAGACCAGTCACTCTGCACAAGGAGAAAGAGCAGCAGTGACTGGTCTTTATTACAGTAAGCTCCTGCACAGAGGGAAAGTTTCACAGTGGATTGCTGCAGAGATGTGGAAACAAAGCACACTAAGATCAAAGTAAGAGTACATGACTCCTCTATTTGGGTAATATTTGCTTATGGAGTTCAACATTAAAGATCTCCAGGCATGTAAATAACCCTCTGCACTGCAAGGGTTAAGTGTTCATTGTTGTCTAGGGTCTAAAATAAAGAACATACTCACCTGATCCTCAGTCCTGCGCATGTAACCACTCACCTCTCTTCCTTTGCTCCGGCTGTGGAAAGTTCCTCAGCATCCTTATATACATTGCAAGTCAATGAAAATGTCACTGATCCTTAGACTGCCAGAACCCAGGGGGGAAGAGGTTGCAGGGACCGGTCTAGCAGCTAGGTGGGACTGACGATTGGGTGAATATATATATTTTTTTAGACCAAAACGAGCGGGTAACCCCATTGCAAAGGTTAACGTTAATGTGCCTAGAGTTGTTCCTTAATGCTGTATGCATGTAAACCTTTGTGCAAATGTTTACATGCATCCTGCGTACATGGACCTTATTGGCCTCCGTCTGTTTCCAATGCATTTTTGGATGTAGGAATTGGAGTGGATAGAGTTAACCGGCATTGACGAAGGCTTTTGTTAATACCTGTTGCCAAAACACGTTTTACCTGTCTCTAGATATGGGTGCAATAGTTTTCTTTTTTCAGGCTATATTTTCCTTTACTTCCACCTGTTCAGCCTACCAGTAACCTGCTTCCTGTCTTAGGGGATAACACATTTTCTGTTTCTATGGGGATTCAGTGTTGTCACCGTCCTGCAGAAAGTGTTAGAACACCTCATCACTCTCCTCATCTCATAATATAGTGTGTGCTGTACAGGGCTTCAACCAACTAATTGATAATGAGGATAGTTGTCAACTATTCTCTATCGATTAGTTGGGTGGATCCCCTAGCTTTCTCTTCCACGCTGGGAGGAGGGCACAGCAAGCAGATGGCGGGTACAATAGCCAGCCTGCTATTGCAATTTGAAATGGCCAATAGCAGGCTGGCTATTGCACCAGCCCTCTACCTGCTGTATTTACATTCAGCTGCCGTCTGCAGAATCTTGCCAGTGGCAGCTGTCATTCCCGGGCTGAAGCTATTGAACAGCGCCATGTACTAAGATACAATTATTAGAAGGAAAAAAAATGATGAAAGGTAAGAGTCATTTTCGGTTGTATGGTGACTTTACTGTTGTAACAATGATCATGTACTATTGTGCTAAATCTGACCTTATATGGGGGATTTGCACAATTTGTCTTATTCTTAGATTAAGATGATATCTTCTCTGCCCTTTTTTGACTATTAAGTGAATGTGCAAACAGCTTCTTATGCTGGTAGTAAACTGCCGGTAATGTGATGGTATTGATGAATGTTGGAAATTCTTAAATTTCATTGAAATGTTTCTGCTCAAATAGTATGGGTTTCACTTGTCTGTCCATCTTGCTTCTTAGTAGCCAGATTATTTTGTTAACGCTACAGTCAGTGAGTTCGCCTTTGTGTTTATCAGCTGCTAGGTTATATGAATGCCTTTCTAAACAATCTGTTCAGTACAGTATATAAGCATCCAGGTAGTCCAGGGGTGGATAACTGACCTAAAGTTTTACACTGCACAGTAGTGCAGTCCAGAATTCTAACGCATTCTAAGATTATGTTAGAACACCAGAGTACAATCAGATGGTGATGTGTAGCTAGCTTTATTCTCCCATAGTGCAGCGGTTGAATGCAAATGCTTGCTGCAAGGCAATGCCTCAATCATTTAGATGAGCGCACATGTGTATTTCTTCGGTCCCTCTGGAGGTGGTCTGTTGTGAAAACATGTGCTGTGCGTGAACAGGTCAGGTTTGCTTACAGCAAGTGTGGTATGCATTTCTTTTCTTATAGGTTTACTGTATTTATGTGAAATTAATTTTTAATAGGCTCAAACTCAAACCTCTTTTAGGAACCAGATGACAGCTAAAATGTCTATAGGCTATGTGGTAAAAATAGAATAAAAATGTATGGTACCCATTGAAAACCCAGCTTTCATCCAAAATGTGGGGTGTTGCTATTGGTAACATACCTGCTCACCCTCGCCCAAACTTTGGGTATAACCCTGCATAAATATAGACTCAGTGGGGGGAATTTATCAAAATTGGAGTAAACAGAATCTGATGCAGTTGCCCGTAGCAACCATTCAGCATCTCTCTTCAGTTTGCTCAGTTAAGCTTTGAATGAGAGGGAGAAGCTGATTGGCTGCAGTGCAAATCTGCTCCAAATTTTGTCTGCTCCAGTTTTGATAAATTCCCACCACTGTATTTCATATAAAGTATGAAGGAAGTAATTCCCCCTGGCTTTCAGAGCTGTCTTTAAATGTAATGCATTCAATGGTGTATATTGTGTGTAATGATGTTCTGTAATTGCCAGCAGTAGATTCAAGCTCAATAAAATTTTGGTGTTAAGAGACTTTGGTAATTGTTGGATTGTCCTTGTCAAGGAAGCCAACTGCTGCTTTAATTTGGATCTAAACTTGTTTGTTTTTCAGATATCTCAAAAATACTTAATAATAAAATAGTAAAATCCGCTTCTGTTGCTCTATTTAATTTCAAACCATAAATTTCCCTCTTTTTTTTCTGCTATTACATGTCTTCAGCCTGATGGCCAGCATCATTCAGCCCATTTCCTTAGAGCCCTGCTTGCTCTGGACTTGCCTGTAACTGGACAGTGGAAGGATGAACAGCACCGTAATAAGCTTGCCTGTGACTCTGCTCTGTCCTCCTGTCGGCTTTCTTCCTGTCAGCACATGCACAGATGGCCATTTTGTGCTGCTTCTATATCTCACACTCCAGCTCTGATTTGCAGGGACTTTAACTGGCTGATTTTTTTTTTTAAATTCAGCTAGTTATGCTGCTTGCATTGATAAAAAAAATCCCATATATTACATAGCTGCATGTATTTGTCTTTCATATCCTCTTAAATTTAAGCTTTAAGAAATCAGGAAATGGTAGGCACCTTTTAGGTGATGGGGTCCCTGTGCTTTCTTATGCAGTAATACAGGCGGCTCTAACAAGTTTGACACCGGCAGTGATTATATATGAATGCTGGCAAACTGGCTTTAGGAGTTTAACCCTGCCTTATGGTAGATATAGAACTGAAGGGTCCAGCAGATTCATCAAATGATAGTATTGTAAGGATCAGCTATTCCAATTTTTGTAGTCTATAGTTGTCTTTTGCGCACGTCTGAGTATGATCAAACAGAGCAGCCAATTTATTTTAGTTTGCCAGTATTGGAGATGGTTAGAACATCTTGCAGACTTGTGTTGCTGTCTGCCTCCCAATAGTAGCAATTTCCTCTAAAGCTGGACCATACACTGAGAATTTCGGCTGGTTCTTCATAAACTGGCCAAAATTTGCATAGTGAGTGCCACTGTTGGCACCCTTTTGGCCGGCATCCTTTGATCAGCTGATGGGAGGAGCCAGTTGGAAAGTCTTCAAATGAACAGAGCCGACAACCAAATTTGGTGGCCTCTGTCAGAATACAATGAAGACCGCAGGAGATTCCTCGATCAAACATTGATGGCGGAATCAGTTATATTTTCTTCATTCAGCCTGTGGGTAGAACAATGAAAATGTTAGTGGTATGGTCAGCTTAACTCCATGTCTCCAT